ACCCACCCCCACGCCCCTAATTTTAGACCTTGGCCAGGGGGGATGGTGAAGTACATGGGGCAGAGGAAAACATGACAGGGAACAAGAATTCTTTCATTTGAACCTGTTACTCAGGTTTTATGACGTGTGCCTCGGGCCACTAAGTCTAGACCTAATAAAGTGGAAGATAGAAACTAAAAGACTAGTAATAGGGGAGCGGCTGTGGCTCCTAACAGGAGGAGAAGCGGTTAGATTCCTAGCTTGTCCAGTCCACATGTCGAAGTGTCCTTGAGCAAGACACTGAGCTCCCGGTGATAACACCAGTGTGTGAATTTGTGAGCGTTTGGGAGTGAATGGGTGAATGGCCAAGTAGTGTGAAAGCGCTTTGACGGTTCTGTAAAGCGTAGAGAAGCGCTATACAAGTATAAGACCATTTAATAAATAAAGCTACAAGTCAGTGGTTGTAAGCTTGGTATAATTATACACAAGTAAAATATAAAATGACATACAGTAGAAAGAAGATTTATGAGCGCAGTGAGCAAGTGGGTGAAGCATTGTTTAAAATCAAAATGTTTCAGACGGCAGCTGAGTCCTGTGAAACTACACAGGGGTTATGATTGCAGATTATTAGCCAAACAGTTAAGGTTGCTACTATAGCCTCACCTTTTGACTAGTTGGATTTTCTTTAGCTTCAACATTTATACAAATAAAGCTGATTGCTTAGACATTAACCTGACACTGTCGAGCCTGAAAAACACCGACATTTAACAGGCAGGGACGGTCTAATGAAAGATGCTGTCAAGTTGCATTAGGAGAAATGCAGGTTCCAGTGCTTTTAGAGTGTGAGACATACTCTTGGTTACAAGTCAGATATATTGGCTTCAACTGCTTTGATTTGGACTTTTTTTTTTTTGTTTCTACAAGCCCCCAACGTTATAGAAGAACAATGTTAAATCACTAGAGTATCCCTTTTAGAAAGTATTCCTCTGTGTCTGCTTGTGCATCTTTGGTAAGGGCCAAACAGCTGTGAATGATGAAAGATGTTAGCAACAACTGGGCAGACACTGAGTCAACTGTGTGGGACTCTTCTTAAACAACAGCCATTACACAGCTGGGCTGCTGGTGGCACTAGAGTGTGGCACTGACCATGGTGTGGTCCATCCCAGATAAACTGCACTGTATAGCTGAAGTGTACTCATGACTGAGTCAAAGGTCTGAGAGCAGTTTCACTGAATGTGAATTGGATTTTTAAAAGGTCACATTTTATTAAAGTAGTAAGAGGGAAACTGTCGAGCTCTTGTGGTTCTTAGATCCCCTACCTTTTACTAATCTAGAGTACTAGTGGAAAAATAACTATACTGTATATTTACGATAATTGTAACCAAGATGTGGTAGGTGAAGAAATGAAAAGAGCATGAAAAACCAGCATGAGATCAGAAACTCATTTTAAGGCAGTTCTAGCTTTTGTTTGTGGAGTGGAACAGTTGCACAAGTCTAAACTCTGTGATTACTAACTTGACGAGCTGGTTACGTACTGTGGGCGTCCTGATCTTAAAACCTTGTGTTCTTTCCACCATGTCACATCAAAAGCACAACAACCAAGCCGACTACAGGAAAATTCAATATTTGTTCTCCAGTTTACCAGCAGCAGCCCCTCCATGCTTGTGAAGTTATGAAAGTGACTTTGGCTGCGTGGAGAGGAACAGAAGTAGTGTTTGCTTAGTGGTGAAAAGTTGTGTCATCTAAAGCTGGTTCCTAAAATCATTGCACAAAAAAAGCAATGAAGTCAAATTTGAACAAAGACATTTGCGATCTTATGTTAGTTCCCATGGCACTTTTTCAGTTGCAATCCCTCAATTTCATATTCAAATAATTGGATCTGATCATTTGTTCTGTGTAATCCGTATTGTTGTTTGCTGTTGATGTTGAAAAACGTGGCGTTATTGTTGTATTTATTCACACTCATTGTGAGGTGATAGCAGAGTGCTTGAAATATTAAAAGTAAAAGTTATAATGGCTTCATGACATTATTCTGTCAGCTTCTCCACACTCCCCTGGTTAGCCCTTTATTAGCCCTGATAAATTCCCTGCAGCTGGCTCTTTGCACATGTAGACGCTCTCTTATCACTATTCAAACAGCTAAGAGCAACCGCTGCTCTGAGTCACACACGTACTCAAATTTTCTACTAAAATATTTGTCCACAGATCTATCAGAGCAAAAAAAAAAAAAAAAAAAGTCATTCATTTGACTTGGATGTCACTGTGACAAATTTAGCCCAAGTTCAAAGTGACTTTTCCACTGTCCCACACGAGGTTAACAGGCTGTCTACACCGCTGACCAAAATAGTTGTGTAGCATTAGCTTAAAGTACACACAGAGAAGACGTTAACAGCTGAGGCCGCTGAGGGAAACCACCTGTTGTGGGTACAGCTGTGAAGGTGTGCTGCACAGAATGTCAGCTAGGTTCCTGTTGATCAGTTGCCTTCACATCTACTTATCTGTTTTTTATGACTAATGCAAATATTTTTTAAAGAATATGCTTTTAGACCTTGTGACAGCAAATTTATGTCAGTTATGCAAATGTCTATGAGATGAGAACATATTTTTAACCACATTAGTGGCTCTGTGGCCGTGTTTGTCCGTCTATTTGTGCAGATAGGTTGGTACACACATTCATGGTTCCCAGACCTTGAATCCTAATCACTTGATCTCCTGAGTTTTCATTCAGTGCCAGCATCAGGTCAAATTCTCAATGTACAATGAAATACCTGAAAAGCAATGACATTCCCATCAGCCTCAGCTGTAACTGTTGCTAGTTAATAAATGTCAGCATGCTAACACATGAAACTAAAACTGTGAACATGGTAAACTATACCTCCTCAACATCTGCTTGTCAATATATCAGCATTTAACATTTAGCTCAAAGCACTATTGTGCCCAAGTCCAGCCTCACAGAGCCACTAATGTATATCATTACATAACACTAAAGGTTTCCAAAAGCTGGCATACATTACGAAGTTTTCACCTGAGAACAACATTATTGAACTGTATCTGTGACTGATCTCTGACTTGCATCTGGTCAATGCAGGAGTGTTCGATATTACAACAGACACAGTACAAGCTGTGATTGTAAAGGGGTGTTTATTGTCTCGGATAGCCATAGGTGGTCCTGATGAAAACACATGAAAGAGGAAATTCCAAGAGGAATTACCATACTTAGGTTGTTTATGTGAGTGCATGCCTGTCTGTCTTTGCCCTGTGATCATGTTTAAGCAGACTCTGTAGTTAATGGCAAACACAAGCTGACGCATGAGCCTTTAACCTCAGGGGCCTTGGTTTGAGCAAGGAGCAAAAGGCCATCCAAAAGTTTAGGTTTGTTCCATAACTGTAGCTCTGCTCTAAATGTTGTTCACTATCTTAGAAAGTTAGGACCTCAGATTGCAGATCAAGTAAAATGGAAAGTTAAAGTTATATCAAATGTATGACATCCAAAGGCATTTAGATGATCAAAAGATATCTATGATGTACAGTTTAAATCTCCTTGACCTGCTCTGAGTCTTTATGCTGCATTTGAGTGAGCTTCAGAGGGGGAGACTGCCACGCTGTGTAGGAGGAATCCAAGTGATTAATGTGTTCTTCCAGAAGACAGGCCGCCTCATGCAGACCTGCCACATGTGCAGGAAGTGAAACCATGGCAATAGAGGCTTGTGTAATGTGTGACACCAGTTCTCCTGCAGCTTGCATTAGCTTGTGCCTATTTAATATCACTCTGGGAAGCCTTGGCCAGCCTGCTGCTGCTCACTGAAGTGCGTCACTGTCTTGTTTTGATATCATTGTTGGTCTCAGATTTTGTTCTGAAGGTTATGTTGTTGTTCATGATGTTAATTTTTGAAGCAACACATTGCTGTGTGGTCTCAATTTTAGACTGCTTTAGTTTTAGTTCATATGAATAAGTGTGTATATTAATCTCTCATTAGTTTTGTAACTTCCTATGTGGCTGCTCTTCATGTAATGTACTTTGGATACATAATTAATGAATGCACAAACCTTGAAAGTCTTGATTGGCATATTAGTTTTGCCACTTTGAAGTGACAATGAAGATTACACTCACAGATTTGTTAGTTTTCCAGATATTTTAAGTCCCCTTTGTCCATGTGTTCTTAACTTTCAGGGGCACTGAAGTAGCCTTACTGTTCCCTCAGCGAGCTTTGGTTCAGCACCGTGGATCAGCCGTGCACAACACACTCGGCTGATTGTCCTTTGTTGCCAGTGCTAACTGAGGACAACAGTCTTTCACAACTTGAGGTTTAAGCTGGCCTGTCTAAGCACAAGAGTGAAATGTGCGTCTGGGCGTGACAGCATGCTGGTGTGTGTGCGTCACTGATCACATAGGTGTGCAGCTTCTTGTTTGCACACATACTCAAGTTGTGATGCAACTAAGAAACGGTTGACTTGATCCTGTAAAGGGAGCAGGTTTGGCGGTGTAATGTTAGTCTTGTGTTTCTTTCCTTTAGGTTTTCTTCCAGGTGAATAGAACAGCTTCAACAAGATGATACAGACTGACAATTACTTTTTTGGCTTTAGAATAGTTTTGTTGCTTGTTATAATGTCATTTGGAATGTTGGAGCTGTCTGCTAAGTTTAAAAACAAGCCAGGCACAAAGAAATAAAAAGAGTAGAATCACACCTTTTGAAGTGGGACTACATGGTTAACAAACCTTTCTTCTTGGAACGTGAACAGGTGATTGAGTGCAACAGTTTCTTTTAAAGATGCTGGTAAATCGTGTTCCTCCATGTCTATAAGCAGAGAAGGACTGATGTTTCATAAACAATGACGGGGAAAGATGACTCACTTTTCCCCTGGAGCATTCATTCATAAAGTGCTTAGTATTCTAGCCATGCCCTTTTCCCTTCCCAGATTGTGATCAGCCACTCATTAGCCTTTTATGAAAGAAGGCTGAAGGGAGTTGTTTGAGCAATTTTCATTCCTCATTTGGGTCAGGTGACTGAACTCATTCAGGCCCTGAGGCTCTGCAGCTGCAGAGTGTGTGACCCCAGCAACACCATTACCATTACCCCTGACATGAGAAAAGTGTCACAAGCCACGTCATCACCAAGCTTAACTAGTTGGTACATTGTCATTTTCTTGGTTGGTTTGTTTCTCAGGTGTATGGCTAAATTAAGCTAGTTCAACATTTAAAGGGGTTGACCCTGTTGCTCTTCATTTACAGTACGTGTCCGTTGTGAGCACGCTGTTAACAGTTTAGTCTCAGGAGCTTGAAAGTTCCAACTGTTAAAACTGAGTTTACACTTAAGTGGCAGCTATTGTGCAGGTTTAGCGATCCTCTTTATAATACTGCTGAATGTAGTAACTTGAGACGTGCAGTAAGGTTTATCAAAATTCATGTAAACAAGTAGGTGACGACAGTGTCATATTAGCACAACAAATCTAGCTCTAATTTAGGCCTGAACTTTGACATACAGAGCCCAGTTGGTTTGATATGGATTTAGAGGGCTACACTGACCTGGGGCCTGTTTTATCAGGTCTTATGCAACATCAGTCAACAAAAAATTCAATCTCTAGGCCACAAAGCATTTCACATGTCAGGTTTGACGACAGCCCATTAATATCAGATGATTTAGGTCCTGTTAACACCGATAAAAACAAGGCACAATAAAGCCAGTTGTCAGCACATCCAGGTGCCAGTCACCAAATAATCACAGAAAGAATTATCATATTTTGGAGCACATTATCATATATTTATTTCTAGTGCATGCAGAACTGAGTTAGCAATGTATGTCTCGTGGTTCACGATACATCCATAAGATGATGACTGCAGGTTAAAAGAAACGCTAAGCATTCTAGGTTACAGATAGCATTGTTATACCACGACGCATCATTTTGACACTGAACTCATACACAAGTTGTGAAATGTAATAGCAAAGAGTTTAGAAGAAGCTGAATGGCAATAGCAGCTGTGTCACAAGATGTCAGCAAGATATGTGATTTGATCATTTAAGGCAGATGCACAACATATAATCCAGCTGCTTCTAGATCAGCCAGGCACCATAGAACTATTATGGCAAAAACCAGAAATATGACATTTCAAAATGATTCTACTTTTTTTTATTATCAAGCTAGGATTGTACAAAGCTCTGCATTATTTTACAAAAAGTCATTATTTTAGATGGGTGGCAGCACTGACACTAGCGAAGCAGGAGGAGATAAAGAGCAAGGATTTATGATTCACAAGCCTCTGTCACTTTTGACAGAATGCACTGCAGCAACGTTATGTTTTTTCAGGATGTAACAGTATGTTGCTTTTTTGCTAGAATAACTTCTCTGGCAGTCAGAGAAGCGAGCTTGTGACAATAAGGTCACCAGTTCAATCCCTGGCAGGAGTGAATCTGGTTGGGGCAGGTGACAAAGCAGTGCCCTGCCCTCATTAACTCCACCGTGGTGCCCTTGAGCAAGGCCCTCAACCCAGAGCCAGCTGCAGCGGAACAGCTCAGTGGCCACAGGTCAGTCTGCGGTTGTACGGGGCAGCTTCCTGATGTGAATGTGTAACCATGTGAATGTGAGCAGGGTGTTCCTGAAAAAGAGAGGTGGCCTCTCAGAGAACCTACCCTGTATAAATATGAGGAAAAAAAGAAAAGTAAAAGGCAGTGGTGACTAAGAGAATATAAGGATTTAGGTGATGTTTTAATCTCCAGAGCAGAAACTCCTAAAGGTGCATATATCTTCTGACAAGCTTGGCAGTTGGTCACTCGTTTTTCACTGAACCAATGGGTTAAAAATAAACTGGCATACACACATACACTAAGCAGTATCAGAAGTGATTCAGCTGTCCCTAAATCAACCAAATCTACAACCTGAAATTGAAAGAGCTGCTCCAGCAGATATTTTTCACTTTCAGTTCAACAGCTGTAGGACTGATTTAGTCTTTGCTGTGGTTTTCACCTACGAGACAGGAAATGGTAAATTTCTCACCACGCTCCTTCAGAGCAGCAGAGGCAGAGCTATGTCAAAGGCTGCTGTGGTTTCCTTTAACCTACCACAAGAGCATAAAATGGCTATAAAACTATCATGAAATAGCTGAATTTACAGTTTTTGTTGTTCCCTTAACCTCCTTCGAGGGAACAGGCTGTCGTGTACACTTACGAAACTAGAGCAGCCGCCGTGAAACATAATGGAAGACGTAACTAATGCAGAGCTTAGTAACCAGTGAACAGGAGCTGAAACTAACGGAGACAGGCGGTCAGGTCCTGCAGAGTTAAGATCAGTTACATCAGTGTTGCTCTGAAAACCTGATCTAATCAGCTCAGACAACGATCCGGGGCATTTTGTTCAATGAGTGGATTGTACCACTCAGTTTGTTGGCTGTCTCCTCTCTCACATCATTGTGATTAGAATAAAGACCAAAGGGGAAGTTCCCCCCTTCTGCCCGTTCTCTTCACACCAACAATACTTAGTGACCTGTTTCTGTTGGAAAATAAGGACCAAACCAGTCTCGGGTCAGACTCCCAGGAAAGTCCCCGTTACATTAGAAGCATTATGTAATATAAGCATGCATGTTCATCAGAAAAACAAGGTTGTGCTGCACCAGAGAGAGAGGGAATGTAAACACTGACATAATTTCACAAATGAGGATACAGAAACAAAATTTGACCATGAGATTCAAGATTTGATAGTTATATGCATGCTGAGGTAATGTAACATTTGATAAATTATCTTGATAAACATGCTTTATCATACAGCATACTCCAATACCTTAATCTTTGACCCTTCATACTGAACAAAGATGCAACAATTTAATTAGCCATTATTTAGTTGAAACTCCTGATAACTCGATCATGTCTGGGAGGAGACACTGGTGATGTGATTTAATTTGAAAGATAATACATGCCGATTAGGCACATAGTATGTATACCAGTAAACAGCACAATTCATTTCTTATGAAACCTCTGTGCAGGCGATGAGACATATTAGTGGCTAGAACATTTTCATTACTTTTGCTGTTGATTAAAGAATTTGTTTTATTTTGCGACATGTCCTTAGTGTGGAGCAGTTTGTCCTTTTGTTTTTTTATTTTCCTAGTGTTTTAAAGAAATTTCTCAACTGCTGAAAGTAGTACACCACAGGGAAATTGCAACAGAAGCAATAATTTTGTGCAACAATTTTCTTAGGTTTGTCCTAGGAGCTCTCGGGCCGTTGCGTTACTCTACGAAATGTCCAAAAAAAAAAAAAAAAAATAGTACCAGTAAGAATTTTTCAGAGTACCAAAGGACACTGAATGAAAGACTAATGAAATGAAACTACTACGTGTTTGGCAGTATTGCTCAATAAATCACTTTTTCAGTATTGTCCATTTTCTCTCAGGAAAGTGATCAATGAGCTAGTTATTTCAGAAGCTCCCACTAAAAAGTTTAACATACTTTACCTTTCAAAGTTATGGTCTGGCCTACTGTTAATCACCATTTCCTTTACCATTTTTTCCATTGTGCATGTTCAGTAGACATGATCCCATGTGATGCTGCATATCTAAATAGCGTTCAGTTACATTAAACTCACAATTGAATCTGTTCAAATACTGTTAGAAATGGACCCCTTGGCAAATGTTTGTCTACAAGCATCATGCAAGGATTCAAGCAAGGAGACGAGATGCCACTGCAAACATTTTTTTAATGCAGTAATTATGACTAGGAGAGCAGTGAAGAAATTGGAAGCAAGCATTTTGTTTACATGCAGACGTACAATGGCTCCGATGCGACTAGACAAATAAATAAAATGTAATTTAATCAATCTGTTTTCTTCCCCCTTAATAAATTTACAAAAATACTGTAATCTTCTCACATTTCATTTTGAACAGTGAGAGAAAGATCTGTAATCAATCTTAGATCCTCAGCAGCAATTAAAATAAGCTGTCACGGACTAACTCCCACAGGTCAATGCAATATTGGCTGTGGTACTGATCTGCTGTAATAAAAAAAGATTATTTTGAGTTTGGTCTATATACAAGTGGTGCTGTGCTACTATGAAGCACTGTAATTAATGAGCACTACACTTTAGCTCATATGTATATATTACAACTTATTAGACTTGAGTAGGTTGGGTTCAGACACTGATAAGCTGGGGGAAGAGTTCATTAGCAAACATGTCTTCCCAGCAGCTCTCAGAGCACAAGGGAGAGGACATGTCACTGAAGGGGGAAGGGGAGCCTTCGTATCCGGAGTCACTGTAGGTCTCTGTCAGGCAGGCTTCCTTATCCAGGCTGCTGAGGGCTGGTGAGGAGGCTGCAGGGAGACAGTCATCCACCTGACTGTGACCGTTATAGCTGGGGATGACCACTTCCTCTGGCTCATCTTTGATGCAAACCGTCTCCTCCTCGACCACCACCTCTGTAATGGGGAAGGCAGCCTCATCGATCTCCTCCTCCTCTGCACTGCTCTCCGAGTCGTTGCACTGCCCGCCACTCACCTCCTCCACGGGCTTGGTGTAGATGTGGTCAAAGTGGATCAGTTCATTAAGGGCCTCCAGCTTAACTGATGGGGTCCCCAAAGGTGCAGGTGTGGTGGCAGGTATTGGGTTCCCCCCTCCATCCAGCAGTGCCTTCGGCTCCTGGCACTCCTGCTCACAAGACTTGAAGAACAGCTCTGGGTCAAGGATGTCCAGAATGCCCAGTAGCAAATCAGACTAGAGGAGGGAGGGAGAACAGGGACAACAGAAGATTAACCTAGTAACCCATGAACCGACTGGTGTTATTATAGAGCTTTCTCGGAGCCAGGATTTAAAACACAAAGCACAGATGTTTGGCAGAGACTCACCTCACTGTCTGTAGTGTCAGGACTGTCTGTATCCATTGAGAAGTCTTCAGATTTGGGGACTGCTGGGCCTGCACCTGCTGCGGAGGCACACGTAGCCTGAGTGCTGCGGACTCAGAAGACCCGATCCCTAAACCTGCATCATTCTCATTGGACCAGAAAACCTGAACCTGTGACAAAAAGAATGGAAGGTGAAGGTGACATCACTTAAAATGATTGACAGTGGCTGTAATCCAATCCGCCCCCTCCTCTGCATCACAATCTTACCTTTTCTTTTGAGTCAAGGGTGTCCAACCCAAGTCTCTGTCTCAGTTCTTCATTTTCAGTCAGTAGACTGCTGGTCTTTTCCTGAAGGAGCCTGTTTTCAATGTGAAGTTTTTGATTCTGTGGGAGGAAATATGAACAGATGTTTGCACTTGAAACTTGCACCTCTTTATCAGGAAGTGATGCATAAAGTGCTTTGGCTGAAACAATCCAAGACCAGAAATCAAACTGCACCAAGTAGGAGTAAAATGTCTTTCCTGTTAAGACTATACATGATTCTTTTTTTTTTTTTATTTCAGATAGGAGATACATTGACAGAAGCTGATTATTACCATTAATGCTAATTTGTGCAGTTACTTTTAGATGTGTCTGAGTTGCACTACATCAGAAAAGACTGGTGATGTGGGGACATAAAGAAAGGCAGTGTCGGTGGGATGGGGGTTAAACATAGCACCTTCTTGTATGACTGGACCCTGCATTCCTAGCTACACCCCCGTGTAAACCTAACCAAAATGTACCTCCAGCTCCAACTCTAGGACTTGCTGTTCCAGTTCCCCCATTTTGGCCTTTTTCCTGTCTCTGGCAGTCTGAGCTGCGACTCTGTTCTTTAGTTTCCTGGAGAAACAAAATGGTCAGCATTAAGGAAATGAAAGAAACAACTCATTCTTTCCACTGAAGAAGCTCTTCTGACGTAATGTGGGTTCATAGTACTGCGCAGTCACCGGCCATGTTCCTGCCACGCAGGCACACGGAGATATCACTGTCCCGCCCTGGAGCGTCGGGGCCGAGCGGGGCGGTGCGGCCACGGCCACGGCCACAGAGATAACACTGACAAGCTGACAGCACAAAGGCCAACGGTGATACAACGCTGGTAATGTCACTTCCTCCGGGGCCAGTTTTAGACAGCTTGGAAACCTACTGACAGTACTAAATGATACAACATTGGCCGGTTTTATAAATGTTAAACTAGATTACTGTTGTTCCAATAAGGGATCGGTATCTTTGGGCGTGCCTGCCATAAAATCCTATAACCATAGTCAGGTTTTAAAAGTAGTTTTACACACACATACTGGATATTTTTGTAACACGAACCTGCGAAGTGCTTTCTCCTCTGGACTCAAATGTGTGAGCCTCTGTCTTTTCCGTATCGGCGGCCCCGCAGGGGTGTTTGAGTCTGAATCCGACGACGCCTGGTTGGCCACAGACGGTAAAACGACGGACACGGGCCGAGTGAAGGCTGTCTGCGAGCCGCTTGAGGATCCATTGTGCTTCCCTGATATCAGGATCACTTTGTGGGTTCCTCCGGTCCCTGCTGTTACTACCACCATGTTGTAATATCCTACTGGTGCTTTTTTAAATCAACAACAATCGGGTATCCTTATTAGAGTCAGTAGAAACCTTTAGGTTTCCCTGATATCCCACTTCCCAGCAGTGCTCTACTATTGGACTCTAAGAGTTCCGTCTGCGAGCTTTTCTACCATCGTGGTGACATCTGATAGGCTACTGACTCTGACGCAGTCGGGTTGCGGCCTGTGATTGGTCGCAGTGCTGATGCAATTTACATATATGGTTTCACTTCGCATATTTAACCGAAGTTCTTTGTAATTTCCCATTAAGCCTTGGTGTCAAAGGGTGTTTCGGGTCAACTGTATGTATTTTTAACAACTATTTTCTTATTCTCAGTTGCGTTTTTGCTCTGTTTTATTCAAATAGCATTGGATGGGTAGTCCTGACCTGATAGTCTGAGAGAGTAAACAGAAATTTCAGTGTAACCAGGTCCATGTTTCCCAGAGTTGCATCATATTTGCCCATAATATGCAAGCTTGCTCAGTCCACAATTTAGACCCTTACATTATAAGTCAATAGTACTTTCAGTGTATTGATAATGGAGCTGTGGCATTAATTTGGAGTTTCCTGGATTCATCATTACTCCTTTCCAAACAATGTAACCTCTCTGTGCAGCAAAGGCAAACTGCAATGAACCCTTTATGCTGGTTTTGAAGGTCAAAGGTTACACTGAGGATTTAGATTTCATTTGAACTGGAAGGAATGAAATAAATGGCACTGTAGTAATAGGTCACATGCTTAAAAAATTGTGGTATAGTTCCAGAATATGTTGGGATTTGGGGTATTTTAAGAAGAAGCTTTATTTTATTGTCATTGTAGCATTGTGACACATACAACAAAATTTTGTTTGGAGCCGAGGGCCCTGGGCCGCTGTGCGTATGCACCGCCATGATGGGCAACCTGGGCGTTCAGTGTCTTGCCCAAGGACACTTCAACATGTGGACTGCAGGCACCAAGATTGAAACCTTCAACATTCCGGTAGAGAGACGACTGCGCTACCCACCATGCCACTGTTTCCCTGGCGCTCTGGTCTTTGTCTTTTACAGGATGTTTCCTCATTCTTGTTTTCAAAGGAGTCTAACAAGCTTTACCACCTATGATGGCTTTCCCTGAAATGATCATTTCTGCAAAGAAGCCACTGTCGGGTTTTAAAAGTAGTTTTACACACACATACTGGATATTTTTGTAACACGAACCTGCGACGTGCTTTTTCCTCCGGACTCAAATGTGTGAGCCCCCCCCCGAACCTGAAGGAGGTTTATCAAACCTTTTAGAAATTAATTTCAGTAGCATTATTAGCATTGTGTCATTGTCAACATGCAGTGGTTTGCAGAATTTTAAAATCAATTAAATGGCAAATTAAATAATCAAGAATCATGTTACAGTGTTTACAATTTTTAATGTTGACCTTTGACACTTTTTACAATATGGATGAGTCATTTATTCACCTATGATCAAAAAAATCCAATTTTGACTTGTGATCAAAGGTGTGATCTCACAAAATAGCATTAGTGTCATTTGCAAAATTTGCTACAACGAAATAAAGATTTTTTTTTTATAAGATTGATCTTCATGTGAAGTAGGTTTGTAAGGAAACAGGATATTTGACTGATAAGAAGTACACACAAATGAAAGTAGTTCTTTATTCATCTACAAGAAAAACAACCGGATGTGGTGACAGCAATAGCAGCTAGCTCAGCAACCTCACTGTTGCTCAACTTTGAACAAAACATGAGGTGAATTGTTCAATTGTATTGAATGGAGAAGTTCGTAGTGCAAGCTATGAAGGATATTAGCATACAACCTTGCTAATAAAGACACTGTATGAACAGACTTTGTGCATCAACAATAAAACCCCCGAAGTAGCTTTCAGCCTCTTGTCGACCGTCACCCACTGGGGCTCGGAAACTGTTAGAACGAAATGTGTCAAGCAAGTTCACAAGTACTCTCTGTTCCTTAAAGTCCTATTTGTCCTCAAACATAATTCAGGCAGTATGTGGTCACTGTTACATTTGCACCTGGCAGCCTTTTACTTCTTTAATTTATCTGCTCAGCAGGAGTAGCTACAGCAGCTCGAGCAAACACTGGCCTGTTTGCGGAGGTTTACCTTCACTACAGAATCAACATCTCAGTAAGTGAGAACAGGGGTTTATGATGGCGTTGGTGTGTCCAGCACCATAGTGAAGTACTGAAGAATGAAAACAGGATTTGATACAGGATCTCCTTTACTTCCCGCAGTATACCAAATAGGTCAAACCCATTTGAAAGCTAATACTAACTTGGCACAAGCCTTAAACAAAATAGGAAAATAGCAGTGCATTTGGACTTGTCACCATTTCCTATTTTCAGGTTTCTTTATGTCACTCAAGAGGAAACTAGTTGGTATTGTACAGTACCTTCTTGCCATAAGATGAAACAGTTATTTTTGAATTGTAATGCTAGTTGGGGATCCCCCGTCATGGATGAGACAAGTGTCACATTTGTCATTAGTGAAGTGACCTTCTATATTTGTGTATGTTAAACACAGAGTGGGATGGATGTGTACCAACACCATTCAAAAGGTCATGCTAAATAGCCAGAGGGATATTTTCTTTAGTGTCATACTAGCTTTACTACGTATGGTACATACCCACTGAGTATCTGTCACCAGTTAAAATGTGAGAAAATGGCCCTAAACAGCCAAAAGATGCTTTTGTTCAGCCTTGAACATTTAAAATGTAAATCGTGCATTCAGGCCACAGTGTTTCCTAACATTTTATAGTAAAATGTCACAATGGACTCACCACATTGTATTAACCTAAAACAACACAGTGTTGTAACAACAGACTAATACTTCTTTCCAAATGCTTAATGAAAATCCTGTTAATACATGAGGTGTTTACTGTACATGGGTGTATACACACGTGAAGACAAGGAGATTTCAAGACAACTTTAAAGATGTTTGTGCAGTTTGTGCCTTGAGAAGAGCCCTATTCATTACAGGTAACTTATTACACATACATAAACCCAGTATTTTGTCCCTTAAAGAAGCTACATCCAGCAGTCAGTAGCGTAGCTTAAAGTGAAAATGGAGGAACACTTATGGTTCTGTCCTCTGAACCTCTAAAGATAACTGTTATATATTATATCTGTAATCCTGCTCAGAGCCAAGGAATAATGTGGTAGATAACCCCTGTAAAATATGAATTTATTTATTTTTTAATTCAGTTATTATACAGATTAAAATAGGGCCAAGCTAGCTGCTTCCCTGTTTCCAGTCTGTGCTAAACTAAACTAACAGATCATAGCTTACTTTTTAACAGAAATGTAGTAATATTTGCTAGATCATTAAATATGCTTAAAATGTCATATTATAAATTATTATAAGATTGTTTACTTTTGGATTTATTTTAGTTTTAGCAAAATTAGTTAGCTAAATCAAAACCCGGCTGATATGAATAAAAAGAATAAAAAGCTTTAACTGAGCATAATTCAGTAAGTTTAAAATCTGCTTGGAAACTATTCCACGAAGAGGGAGCGGCAAATCCAAAAGCCCGTTTCCCTTTTTCGGTCCGAACTCTCGGCACCATGAGCTGATACTTATCACAAGACCGTAAAGCATATTTGGTATCCGATCTACGTAAAAGAGAGCATAAGTATGCCGGGGCTAGGCCTACCAAAGCCTTTACCCACCATCACTGGAATTAGCCGATCAAAGCTCGATTTAAAGGCACTTTATTTATATTAAGTATTTGCAATACTTATAATTAACAATATCATATGCAGGCCAGCACTGTTAAAGCAGGCTGTGTAATTTGTAACAGGAAATGACACACTGTTCCTCTTACAAACGAAAAGTGGAACTCATATGTATAAACTGCACCCTTCCTACTGTAGTAAGTTTGCAAAGATAAAAGCAGAAACAACAAAAAAATTAGAAACCATTGCCCAGAAGAGTCTACGTTATATTAAGTGTGTACTGTATTTTTAGTGTGAATGTGACTATCATACTTTATTGGCATTGTCAGGTGAATGATTGGTTACACATCCTGGATTCATATAATCTTCCTTGGAGGCTCTGACAGCTGTTTGCACAGCTAAATTTATGTATAGTCTGCTAGACTCAGCTCAACCAGTACTTAAACACACACACACACACACACACACACATAGATACACTCACAAACGTAGAAGTAGGGATCCTCCCTGGAGCTCAAAGGAGCTTGTGATTAAGGTGGGTGGATCCTCAGAACCGCAATTCAAAATGGACCAATCCCAACAGCATTAACAAAAGATCTCAGGGCGTGTAAATTGCACTTATTTCTTCCAGATGTTGACATAAAAAAGACAAAAGCCCTTCCAGAATTAGACTGTATAGTATTGAAACAGCTGTGCCGAATGAGCACTTAATTGAATATTCTGTTTTGGTATATTGCGGTATGTTGTTTGTCTTTTTTATTTGTCTCGCTGCTCATTCTTTGGCCAAGTCTTCACTGGAATAGAAATGTCAGTGACACAATCCTGGTTTAAATTAGGATTACTGAATGAATGCATTTAGGGTTGAAACTATGCCAGTAACTTTGTCCCTGTCATAACTTGTCCATATGTATGTGATCATTTCTATTTTGGTTAAGTAACTTTTAGCATTAATTAAGGGCAGTAATTAAGCGAGTGTTTTTTTTCTATACTGTGTGTATGATGTTCACTTACACAAACCAGCCTTCTGATAAATCACTTTAACGTCCACTAACATGACTTGTTGATGTGAAATACTTTGCCAATGTTTCGCTGCCAACAGCGACATAAAAGCAGCCTGTAAAAACCTGCAATTAAATGTTACTCCACCTGCATTCTTTATGAATTTGTATGTTTTTCTGTGAATTAATTAATCATGTTATTAATTTCTCACCTTTTCAATGACAGACCAATTATTCAACAAATAAGGATTTTCAACCGGATTTTAATTTTAAGATTTTAGCTGTGAAACTTAACTGGAGTCCTGGCAATCAGTGGTTTCTGGGTTGTAAAGAGTCCAATTAAAGATATTTGCATATTGATAAATGGTAAATAGACTTGTATAGCACCTTTCTATGAATTTAATGCTTTCACATTGTTTACCAGTTGACACTAACAAACACTC